CCCCAAGAAGGAGGGGTATATGTGCGCATAGAGCTGATTTACTTTGTTGTATAGCAGAGACCAACACAGCATTGTAAAGCAACTATACCCTTTTTTAAAAAAATGACTCCTTGGCTTTTGGCTTCAGCAACTAGGTAGATGGCTTCCCTGATGGCTCAGAGGGTAAAAAAATCTGCCTACAATGCAGGAGACACCGAAGACTCAGGCTTGACCCCTGGCTCGGGACAAGCCCCTGGAGGAGGAAATGGCAACCCACTCCAGTACTCTTTTTTTTCCAGTACTCTTACCTGGGAAATCCTATGGACAGAGGAGCCTGGCGGGCTACAGTCCACGGGGTCACAAATAGCCAGACACGACTGCAGCAACTGAGCAGGCATGCATAGGTAAATGGCGCTGCCATGGACGGGAGGTTACGAAGAGCAGGGATGTAACAGGTTTGGACGGGTGCAATCAAGAGTTTGGACATGTTCAGTTTGAGACACTTCTTAGCCATTCAAATGGATATGGCAAGCAGGCAGTTGGATATGTAAGTGTGGAACCTTAGGTTTAGGCTAAAATTCTAAACTTGAGACTTTCAGCTTATAAAGAATATTTAAAGACACAGGGCTGGATCTAGAGAGAGAGCAAGAATACAGGACCAAGCCCTGGGTCTTCTTCCATGCAAAGGTTGGGCTTAGGAGGAAATGGCTGCAAAGTAGGTTGAGGAGGTGAGGACAGCCTCGTGGATGGTATAAAGAGCTATTTGCCACATGTGCTGGGTGTGTAGTTCCCACAGACTTACAGGGACGACCCTGGGGCGAACAGGCTGTTCTCTGGAGAATAAACTAGTTTACTAAGTAATAAACACTGTTTCTCTGCAGCTATCTAATCAGTATTTATTTTTGTTGCTTTTATTTATTTTGCTAATTTGATATCATAAATGATATGATGGTTCTTTTAATTTGCACTTGTAAAACAAACCGAGTATTACTTTGCTGTTTCCTCTTGTTATACGAGCATTCTGTTAATATCTTTGAGACTGGTTCTTGTAAATGATTATGGTTCACTTCCATTTTTGTATTGAGTTTTTTCTTTCCTTCACTTGGGATTGTTTTTGACTGGAAGTAACAGAATACTTGCCTATAATAAGAAGGGGTTATTTCTGCTTACAAACAAGATGTTGAAAGGTAGACAATCCAGCAATTCTAGAAATCCTCTAGGATCAACACTTCACCTTTCCAATGCACCATCCTCAGCAGGTGTTTGCTTCCTCAGGCTTATCTGAAGGCTGCCAAACCTCAGGGCATCACATCTATATGCCAGCAGGAAGAACAACACAGAGCAAAACTCTTGTACTAGCTGTCTATTCCGCTTCATCAGGAAAACAATAACTTTCCTTGAAGCCATACCAGTAGAAGTCTGCTTACATCACATTGACCAGTAGTTGGCCAAATAGCCATGCCAAATTGCAAAAGAGGCTGGGAAGGTGACTACTTTTTTTTTTTAAAATTCATGTCTCATTCATTTAATCATAACTAAACATGTAGCAGTAGAGAATTCCAGGGGTGAGATAAATTGGAATAAAGAGTGAGAAAGGTCCTCTTGAGTCATGGGGGTGGTCTGCATCTTAAGAGTTCCTGACCATAATCCCTAGGTTTCTGCTAAGCTCAAGAACCATCCCTTCTGTGCCTTTCTTCCCAGGCAAGGAAGAGACTTGTGTCCCAGCAGTGACTGCAGTGATGATTTGATAGGAGACTTAGTTTTGTTGTCTCCACTGGGGTGAGGCCATAAATGTAAATGAACAGATGAACTAGAAAGCAACTGTTTTGTGTACATTTCATTAATCATTCCCATTTCCAGCATGTCTGACTGATAAGAGATGACAGTGAATGGCAATGACGAGGTAATGCAAGTAACTGAACATCAGTGTCAAACTTAGCATGTACATGAAAGTCTGGTGCCTCCCCACAGTGCGAGCATACGGTAATACCGCTGCCAGCGTTTACTGAGCCCATCCATGGGATGCTCACCCCACAGTATCTCATTTAACCTTCACAACCACCTTGTAACCTGCTGTGTTCAATCTTCTCTGGATTAGAGATAAATGATTTGGGCTTGACCCTTCCCCATCAATTTTCTGTAGGATGAGATATAACTCATATTTATAAACTTGCTTGGTTTTCATCTGTACTCTTTAAAAAAAAAACAAGGGTAAAGTAAGTCAAAAGCATGGCCAATATCTTGCATGTTTAAAGTAAAGGTAGATTTAGTTGCTCTTAGATGTGGTTTTAAAAAATCTATAGATCTAATTTAAAAGTGATATACTCTGGTAAAATGTCTCTTTTTTTACCTCCTATGTCTCTTCCATGCTTTAATCTTCTGTATATAATTTGCATATCAAGTTAAATCATGTTTACATTAACTTTTTTCAGTTACCATTATTTCATACATACTTCTGCATAACCATGCCACTGTAACATGGACATTTCTCACCTTTTCTGGGCTTCAGTTTCTTCTGTAAAATGAGGCAGTTAGGCCACTATTTAATAGCAGTTTTTCTAGCTCTAATAGGATACCTACTATCTTAATAACAGAAATACATCATGAACAGCACAGGAGGCTTTTTTGGAGAAGTTTACTTCAAAACAGGGATGCTACTTGATGGGCCGTAACTTTCCTGTTGTTCATGAGTCAGCATGAAAAATACCTCCAGAGAAGGCTAAGTAGGTCAGATTTATCTAAGAAGACAGCTGTGTAATCCTGTATCCCTCTCCAACCCCATGGCACTGCAGACATACTTCTGGCTTTTGAACAACAGTCACATAGCATTACCAACTCCGTAAAGTCCACAAGACCACAACTTGAAAAATTAAGCTGACCTTTAAAAAGCTTCAGTAGAAATACAAAATACAGCTGTATTTATATACTGTCGATAGCAATTTTCTTCTATCTGTTAAGCCATTTTCATTGATTCTATGGTATTGGCTGGTGTGAAAAAGTTTCAGTGAAAAGTAAAACAGTTTAGAAATTAGCAAAAAAAAAAGTTTTTGCCTGTGACTGTTTTTTAAACTATTTAATAAAACCTGTTAGGTTGCCGATGTTTGCTTGCTTTTCTTTCTAAGTAGCATGGTCAGAAGACATAAATACACATTGTAGGGACTTCCCTGGCGTCCAGTGGTTAAGATATCACTTTCCAATGTAGGGGGTGGAAGTTTGATCCCTGGTCAAGTAGATGCCACATGCTTCTTGACCAAAACCCAAAAAACATAAAACAGAATATTGTAACAAATTCAAAAAAGGCTTTAAAAATGATTTACTTCAAAAAAGTCTTAGAAAAAATACAGATTGTAAATAAACAGGTCAATGAGGGAACTTTCATGTAAAAACAAACTTTGAAGGTGCAGTTACTACCTAAGTGGACTAGGCAAGTATTCTTTTCTTAAGAGGCCTCGTTAACACAGTAGAAGATAGACCTTCAGAGCCAAAGGGGCAAGAGCAAACCTAGAGAAGTGAAATGAAGAGAAAAAAGGGACATGCTGGTTTGGGACTGGAGATTATTGCTAAGGAAAGGGAGATGCTGGCAGGCAACGTGGGGAAAAGGTAAGGGATAGGAGAATACCACAGAGTAGATAATGCAACACGCTTTTTTATTTTTAACATGGAGGTTTTATATTTATGCTAATCTTCTTAAATGTTAAGTTCTGGCCAAGCAATTAGGCTATTTAACCTTGTTTAGAGTTATGCCCAGTGTGAGGCTGGTTTTACAGTACTGTATTATGTCCTTGGGAAAGAGAGGATCCATAATTGATTTAGTTCTTCTCTGCATCTGTCCTGCTATTCAACCACTGCTTTGCCATTGTCTAGACTCTAAGGCACCAGAAGCAATTAAACAGAGGATCAATGTAAGCAGACAGGTGTGCCCCAGTCACTTCCCCTCTTTACATTGCTCTTACTTTCTGAATTTCATACAAGCTACTCTGGAAGCAGCAAATTAACTAAAAATATCTTAAGACTGCCAATACTTCTAGCTTATGTAAATGGATTCCTGAATAAACCCTTGCTGCTGATACCGTTGGCACAGCATTAACTTAAAAGACACCCCCGATCTTATGTGTACTTTTTGGTTCTAGGCATCCAAAAAATGGAGCCGGAAAACACAATTCCGAGTATCACTCATATTTCCGCGGGAATGTTAGAAACAGGCAACTGACCACGTCCCAGACCCCAGCTAGATTTCAGAAGAGGCTGGCTAAATTTTGCGATAGGAATCCGAAGAGGAGTGTGTGCAGGGTCTTTGAAACTGTAAATCCTCTCCGAAGAGGCTTCCCCACCTGTCACAACTGGACGGTCTCCACGGAGGGTGACGGGTGCGCCCCCGCCACGCGGCGCTGAGGTCAGCCGCTCGGGTCTTGGGGGAACTCTTCTTATGCTAAATTACAGACTTCGCAGCCACCGGATACCCTCGCTGCAGACTGGCAGTAGCCATGTGGCTGCACTCGCCTTTCCGGACAAGCAGTGCATTATTTCCACTAATATCCTGCCCAGGGCCTCCCGCTGGGCGACGCCGCATCCCACCACCCACCACCACCGGGCGTCCCCGTGGGTCATAAGGCGATCGTGGCCCGCGTGCTCAAACCAAGCGGAAACCACCCCAAAGTTCCTGGCGACAGTGGCCCGGGAGCCCTCCCGCCGGCTCTCAGCGCCCCTGTCACGGTCGCAGAAAATGCCCGGAGCCCCCGCCTCGGGGCCTCGCGCCGGGCCCGCGGCCGTGCGCTCCGCGCGGGGCGGGGCGGCGGCCNCCGGGCGCAGCCCCCGCTTTGTGTGGCGCGCGCTGGGGCCCCGCCGCGGCCCGGCTTCCTGCAGCTTTGTTCCCCGAGCCCGGCCGCCAGGGCCGCGTCCCGCACTCGCCCGCCGCAGCTGCTGCGGGATGCGGAGCGCGGGGTCCCGCGGGGTGGCCTGCCTTCCCCCTAGCGCGAGAGCCCGCGAGTCCGCACGCCGTCGCCTCTCAGTCCGAGGGGCTGCCGGCTCGCACCGGGTGCATTGTGTTCTGATCCGCGGCTGGCTTCTCGGGTGGCCTCCGCTTCTGGAGGGGAAGGGAGGCTTGTTTTGGTGAGGCGGGTGCACGGAGGAGGCGATCGGGAAACAGGAAGCGTTTCTTTTCCGTGCATTAAAAACGCCGTGTGTTTTTTGGTGTTGGTGCAGCGATCGAGCCCATGCCGAACGTGGTGGAGCTGTGGCAGGCGGAGGAAGGGGAACTCCTGCTGCCCACTCAGGTGAGGACGGCCGAGGTGACAGGGCGGCTGCGGGAGGCGGGGGAGGCTCCGAGGCCGCGGCCCCCCCGCGGCTCCGGCGCTCGGGCCACTTTGCAAGACAAATAAACGGTCGCGCCGAGCCTGAACACCTGGCCACGGTGGCCTGCGCGGCCGCCTCCCGCGCCATGTGACAGGGCGTGAGTCACGCCGGCCCCAAGTTCAGGAGGTGGGAGCCGAGGCCACCTCAGCAGGGCCGCGGCCCGCGGCGCCGGTGCCCAGGGACAGGGCGGGCCCCTCGGCCGCCTGTGGTCCAGGGTGGGCGAGGGGCCCGTGCCCTGATCTCTCGGTGAGCCAGGCTGTGTGCCTGAGGACCACCGGAAGATGCAGTGCTGCTTTCGGAAATGTTACTGAGTGGTCCACGCCATTGGCCTTAAGTATCTTTGTTTGGATGAAGATGGGACTTTAAAGGATTGTGATCTTGGATCTTTCCCAAGTGCCTTTAATTTGTGTTAACATACAGCCTCTTGTTAAGAACTCGAATTTAAGGCCCCCACCCCACCCCATGCCATATAATGATGGCACGTGGAAAAATCGTTGGTGAGGATTGGCGGGACATTTGGCATCATCCAGGGTTTACCACTACCATAGAGTACTGCAAAGCCTTTGTGTTTAAGGTTTTTTAACTTTAGGAGAAATTTTCATTGATTGCAGATACACACATTTAAATATTGTTGACTGTCTTTTAGCAGCGACAGTATGCATGCACTGCATGGGAGATGCATGTTTTGGGTAGGTGGGGGAGTGGTTTGAATCCTCAGGGAATAGTTTGTGTGTGGTAATTTTGAGGATGTTCATTACTTCCTCCATTGGTGGTAGCACTTAATTCTATGTTGTCTCTTGTGGCTGTTTAGAAAACAGGGTGTGTAGCTGGAAATTGACTGGTGAGGCTGTGCAGTTTTACATTTCGGAGTGCTGCTAGATATTTGGAATATTCGTTATAATACAGGGCTAATGAATAACAGCTTCAAGGTGGAGAGGTAATTTTTTTAGAGGAAAAATTTCCTGACCCTTCGCTGAAGGCCAGGGTGCTGAATAAGACCAGTCCTTGGAGAAAAAGTCCTGTCGGGATGGGGATCAAACAGTTTGTCCTTCTCTTAAAAGTTTATTCCTAAATGGATCCCTGCCCCCCATTGTAAATGGCAAATGTGTAGTGTTTAAAAATGCAATAAGATAAAAAGAACAAAATAAAAATCATTCAGTTCCTGATGAAAGAACCATATTTGACATACTTACTTTTAACAAATAAAGTATGGTCATATTTGTGTATATCAGAGTTTTCAACAGAGGTGTTAGTAACATTCAGGGCTGGAGAATTCTTTATTGTGGGGCCGTCCTGCTGTCACGCAGTTACAGCATCTGCCCCTATCCGCTAGATGCCAGTGGCTCTTCTCTCTCCCCCTTGTCGTCCCCCCCCCCCCTTTTTGTGACAGCTAAAAATGTCTCCAGACATTGCCAAATGTCTCTCGGGAGCAGAATTGCCTGGGTTGAGAAGCACTGGTGTATATCTATACATATTTGCATTTTTACTCAATTGTACCCTCTACCTCTTAACTGGTTAGTGTTGAAAGCCAACCCAGACTGAAAGGAAAGTAAATTATAGACTTTCATTTGTTACAGCAGTAGTTGAAGGCTCAGTCACTGTCCTCAGAGGTGGAAATGTCAGTCTCTGAGATGATGAATGATTTTATTTATATGCTCAAAAGTGATTTTATTTAATTCTTAATTTCTGGTTTTGTTTATATGTATAATATAGTTTGTTTTGGTAAAATACTGTTAGAATTTTAGAAGCTGTGTCTCTGGAATGTTCACTATAGAAGCGTTTATACCTAAGCTATTTTAATCAAAGCTGTAATGAAAGTGAAACTGATGTTCAAAATCATTTTCTAAATACTTCATCTCCGTGTATTTGTGTATTTTTTTGAAATTGTTTTACCGTGCATATACCTGGGTAGGGGTAAGGATAGATATGGATCTATTTATATTTATCTATCTAAGCTGCATATCTATCTAAATGGCACGTGTGTGTGTGTCTGTCTGTCTGTCTGTCTGTGAGTATAAGTGTAAACTGCAGAGAATTCTAAAGAGAGTTATTTTTAGAGAATTTTTTTCAAAGTAGTTTGAATTTTTTCAGAAAAAGTTCCCTCGTGTGTTATGGAGTCTGTTCAAAGTAGGCTATTTATAGGTGTTATTTAAATTTGAAGGTTTTCTGCTTAATGAATTTGTAAGTTGGGTTGCTTTCAGGAAGACTTAAGGATATGTATGGCTTCGGAAGCCAAGATTTGTCAGTGATTGGTAAAATAGGAGTGTCCGAAGATGTGGTGTTATACTAACACTGGCCAACACTTGTTATTTATACAGTTATCTCTTTTGGAAATGTTTTTTGTCGATTGGGCCTTTTTTCTTCTTTTCTTTTTCTAATGGCTCTCTTAATGGACCAAGAACTTGAATAATGCATCACTGGTAAAAACAGATACAGTTGAGTTGTTACAAGCTGCCAGACTTCAGGATTTGACTCAGAGCGCCATCCTTGGCCACCTCTCTGTCCTCTGTTTCTTCATCCTCAAAACGGGGTTAATCGTGGTGCTGATCTCAGGATTTTGTGCCGCTTAAGTGCCTTGAACTTAGTGAGTGCTTGATACAGTTTTCGTATTATTTTGGCAGTATTCTCATCTGACCCCTGTATTTAGTCACGGAGAGTGTGGAACAGCTTTCCCGCTTTGAAGGGGCTGAGCCAGTGCAGATAACTGTAGTTACGTAGTATGTCGTATGTGCCCAGCAATTGCCTGGTGGCTCAGACTATTGCAAGAGTCTGCTTGCAGTGCACGAGACCTGGGTTCGATCCCTGGTTTGGGAAGATCCCCTAGAGAAGGGACTGGCAATCCACTCCAGTATTCTTGCCTGGAGAATCCTGTGGACAGAGAAGCCTGGCAGTTTACAGTCCCTGGGGTCGAAGAGTCAGACACAGCTGAGCAACTCACACTTATTATGTGCCCAGCAATTGCATAGGTAAGTTATAGTATTCATATCTTTTTGTTATATACTGTTTTGTTTTGTAAAATATTTTGGTCTAAGGACAGTAAAACTTGATCTGTGTTGATAACAAGAGGGAAGAAGAAAACATGTTATTTTACGATTAGATTTACAGAATTTTCCCTCTCCCTTGATTGTGCTTCATCCAGGCTTTCACCATGCCAACTCCCAAGCAGATGCTTTCGTCAGATATTTTATTGTCAAGAAGTAGTTGCGTGTGTGCAAGACACTGCTTTGTGCACCTTCTTACTCTTGCTCCAAGACCAGAAGCTTCTGGGATTCCCTGGGAACCGTTTGACCTCCTCTGGGCCTGAGGCCTTTTGTACTCCGACCTTGTCCGTGGCCTCTCAGTCCTTGGGGACACTCGTGCCCCTTGGCTAGCCAGGCCTGACATGGGTCTGTTGAATGAAAGCACGAATCCTATCGCCTTGCCATTTATCCAAGACCAGTCCTTCTGACCCCTGCCGTGGCACTGGCACTGTCTCCGTTTCTCTTCCCTCTTTGAGCTCTTTGAGCGTGTGGATTTGTTTCCCTGGTCTTGTGTGTGCCTTGTTGCCCTGATTGGGTTCCCCTACGCCTGGTGGCCCCGTTGTGGCGCCGATGTTGTATCTGCAGTAGGCATTTGGGGCTTCTTCCTGCTGAGAGAGGAGAGTGGTCCGTGTCTTGTCTAGTTCCCTGTTTAGGAGGTTAGTCTTTCTCAGAGATGGCCGATGGACTGTCTTATGCATTGAGTTCTTATTATTAATAATCACATTTCTATATTAGTTCTAGGGACAAGAAGGGCAGTCTAGAATTTATTAATTTAGCTTCTTCAGACTTTGCTGGGGTGAGAAGCCTCACTCCTAAAGGTCTCAGCCATGAACGTGACTGCTGAGGAGGAGCAGCTGCTACCTGGTCCAGAAGCGTGTTGGTCTGGGATGGCTTGGGATGGAATGGGATGGGGAGGCCACGTTCTTCTGGCCTGGTTGGTCCATCTAGCAAACAGCTGACCTGGGTTCAGATAGTACAGTGTTGAATAAGAAACTTTTCTGCCTTTAAAAATCCCACAGCTAGTTTATTTTACCCTCCTGAGCCTGAGCGTGTAGATAACGGAAATCGGTGGAAAGTGAAACAGGAAATGACAGAGTGAGTATCTCAGGTACTAAGGAAATAGCCTCTTGCTCCAGGCCAGGAAGCACCACCTCGTATTTGGAAAGCTTTTTGTCATAGAGGTTTATTTTTGGTTGCATCACATTCCACTGTTAATGTCAAAAAATACTAACACGGGATGAATACTGCTGGCATTGTTTAAAAACCCTTGAGTGTTCAGTTCAGTCACTCAGTCGTGTCCAGCTCTTTGTGGCCCCATGGACTGCAGCACACCAGTCTTCCCTGTCCATTACCAACTCCTGGAGCCTACTCAAACTCATGTCCGTTGAGTCGATGATGCCATCCAACCACCTCATCCTCTGCTATCCCCTTCTCCTCCTGCCTTCAATCTTTCCCAGCATCAGGGTCTTTTCTAATGTGTCACTTCTTTTGCATCAGGTGGCCAAAGTACTGGAGTTTCAGCTTCAGCATCAGTCCTTCCAATGAATATTCAGGACTGATTTCCTGTAGGATTGACTGGTTTGATCTCCTTGCAGTCCAAGGGACTCTCAAGAGTCTTCTCCAGAACCACAGTTCAAAACCATCAGTTCTTCGGTGCTCAGCTTTCTTCATGGTCCACCTCTCACATCCATACATGACTACTGGAAAAACCATAGCTTTGACTAGACAGGTCTTTGTCGGCAAAGTAATGTCTCTGCTTTTTAATATGCTGTCTAGGTTTGTCATAGCTTTTCTTCCAAGGGGCAGGCGTCTTTTAATTTCATGGCTGCTGTCACTATCTGCAGTGATTTTGGAGTCCGAGAAAATAAAGTCTGTCATTGCTTATTGCTTCCCCATCTGTT